GCCTGAAGGCAGGACAAGAAGCAACGGGTGGAAACTAACCAAAGAGAGAAGCAACCTAGAACTAAGGAGAAACTTCCTGACAGTTAGAACAATTAACCAGTGGAACAACCTGCCTCCAGAAGCGGTGAATGCTCCAACACTGGAAGTTTTTAAGAAGAAACTGGACAGCCATTTGTCCGAAACGGTATAGGGTTACCTGCCTGAGCAGGGGGTTGGACTTGATGACCTCCAAGGTCCCTTCCAACTTTATTATTATTATTGTTATTGTTATTGTTATTGTTATTGTTATTGTTATTGTTATTGTTATTGTTATTGTTATTGTTATTGTTATTGTTATTAAAATGCCAATGAGCTAGAGACTGGAGAACAAGCCTCCTGCTGGTTTGTGGCTTTGTGGTTTTTCCTTTCAATTAGCAAAGGCAATAAAGAAAAGGAATCCCATCAGAAGAAAGGTCTCAAATACAGAAACAAGCCAGCAAAAGTTAGAACTGATTAAATCTTATCCACTAAACCAGGGGTGTCAAACTGCCGGTCCGCGGTCTGGATGCGTCACGCGGAAGCTGCACCCACCCCATTGCCAGCAGTGGCAAAACAGTCCCGATACGTCACGCAACGTCACGTGACGTTGCAAGTTTGACATGTCTGCACTAAACTGTCTAAGCTTCCCCTCTCTTTTGCTACTTCCTTGCAAAATTGGCAAAGTACAGACATGCAACAGAAAACTCCTGCCAATATCATAGGATTAGGAGGGCTTTGCTATCTTGTACCAAAAATGAGAAATTAAATTAACGAAATGTGAACACTAAACTTGTGAAAGAAATAACATAGATCGATTGTAAATTTTTGTATAAATATCTGAGCCATCTTTTACTTAGGGCACTTGATTTGTATCTTTGTCCCAAGCTTGAGGCTTTTTATTTCTATTTCATCTTCCTCGGTTCAGCATTATTTATTGGCCACTCATGCTAGGGCAGTGATGGCAAACCTTTTAGAGACTGAGTGCCCAAACTGCAACCCAAAACCCACTTATTTATCTCAAAGTGCCAGGGCCGCATCAGCATTGTGGTGCCCTCAGGGGGGCGTGGGGGCGTGGCCCACTGGATGGGCGTGGCTGCGGTGGTCACGGCAGACTGGGTGGGCATGGCCAGGGTGGGCGTGGCCACCTCGATGTTGCTTGTGGGGGGGATGCCTGTGGGGGCCGGGCAGGTTTGGGGGAGATCCAGGGGGTCTCTGGCGGGTGCGGCGGTGGGCAGGAGGCTCATCCTGCGGGGTGAGGCAGGGGGCAGGGTGGGGTGCCATTGCTGCGGGGCAAGGCAAGGTGAGGCAGGGGTCGGGCCGGCCGCTGCCTGACACCATCACCACCTGCACACAGAGGCCAGCGAGTGCATGGGGGCCGACGGTGTCCGTCGGCAGCCACAGCCTGCAGGCCACTCAACCGGTGCAATCTGGGGCTCTGCAGCCCACTGCCAATAATGGGCCAGCCCTCCAGCAGCAGGCAGAGTAGGGGAGGGGGAGGGACGTGATGCAGACTGCCGGACTCACCTACTCCGTCCTATCTGTTTTTGCTTGCGGTTGGAGAGCAGGTCGCTGCTGGTCATCTCCTCAGCCTCCTCGCAGATCTTGCCCTTGGTCCGTGCATGGAGCCTGTTCCCCTCACGCACCCGACGCACCTTGGCCCTGCCTTGGGCCACCGCTGCCAGCAGCTCGCGCAGGTCCATTAGGCCGCCACCGCCACCCAAAGCGGCAGCCCCGCCCAGAACAAAGGAGGCGAAGTGGCTGGCTAGCAAGCTCAAGTAGAGGTGGTAGAGTATGCCCACGCCCAGCAAGCCAAAAGCCACCCCAAGCGGGGAAAGCTGGATCCCCATTGGCGCCATGCCCCCCCAGTCCCAGCTAGGATTGTGTGCCTCCCCCCATCTCTGCTGAGCCTGGGCGGCCATGATGCTGATGGGGATCTGGCTTTCCCCGCTTGGGGTAGCCTTTTGCCTGCTGGCCCTGGGCGTGCTCTACCACCTCTACACAGGGCTTCCTAGCCAACCACTTTACCTCCTTCGTGCTGGGCGGGCCTGTAGCTCTGGGCGGCAGCCTAATGGACCTGTGTGAGTGTCTGGTGGTCATGGTAGGTACTGAGGTGCACGAGGGGAATGCGCTCCACCCGCGGGCCAAGGGCAAGACCCTTGAGGGGGCTGAGGAGATGGGACAGAGTAGGCATGTCCGGTGGTCCACATCACGTGCTCCCCGACTCCGACCTCTAAAGCTTTTTCAGACTAAAACAATGAAAGTAACATTGCAGTTATTTTTATATGTAAGATTAATCACAATAGAATTGGAGTCTGTTACTTGTAGCTTTTCAATAATAAGCAGTTTCATTCTGTGCTTGCTTCCCTGGATTGTACACCCACACTGAGTTCAAAGAGAATTTTTCATTGACCCACTCTAAAAACTCTACTCATACAGGGTTAAATGCCTTCTGTTAAGGCAGGGGTGTCAAACTCGCGTCACGTGACATGTCACGACGTATTGCGACTTTTTTGCCATTGCCGGCAATGGGGTGGGCACGGTTTTACCATGACGCATCTGGCCCGCGGGCCGGCAGTTTGACACCCCTGTGTTAAGGTATGGACAGCTGAAACCTAGTTCTATCTTGATTGGTATACAGCTATGCCTATTTCAGTGGTCAAAGAACACTGCACTGTTTGCTGGTTGTCAAATTATTGTCCCTGCACTTTATCCACAGGTGTTTCCCCCTTTGCATTAGTCAGTACAGGAGTCCAAGAACCAACAAAACAGCCCCCTGGTATCTTTACTAGCCTCCCTCTAAAAAAAAAGGAATTGTAGGGAGAGACCCCCCCAAAAAGAAGATGCCCCCCAGAAAGGAAGCTTCCCTAGGATAAAATCATTCATTCCAGGCAGTCTCTTGAACAGTTAAGTTTTATGAATGAGATACTTTTGTATCTATTGAGAAAACCAGGGCATCCCATTCCAGCAGCTAGCTGGATGAATGGATACTCAGTATCCATTCACAGAAAGCTGGACAGCTCCATTCATAAACAAACTGCGGTCAGCTGCAGCCTTTGCAGAAGGCTAAAGCTGAATGGATTAAAAGCAGAAAAACAAAGAATCCTAAAATTTACATTCCCCACCAAGCTCCAAGAACAGGGCATGACCTCCCAGCCACAATGGGAGTCAGGCAACAATAATTAGAATACTAAAAGGGCCCTCCACTCACCAGATTGTTTTGTCAGCTGTCCTAGAACCGATTGCTGTGTCAGTTCACTTCTGATTCCTAAATAAATGGAGACCTCCTTTCTATCTACAGCCTGCATCCAATTCATTTCTCCTGTGTCTTTCCCTTGGCTTGGAGTGAGACATGGACCAGATTTTAATTCCAACAGAATCTAATTTTGCCTCCCTCCCTGATGTACATTAACCATATTTCTGTTGTAAACACAACAGCAGGTCTCCCTGAAAGCTAGCTAGCTGGATGAATGAATGAATGAGTTGCTGAGCAGATGAACTCTATGAAGAACAGAAATGATATAGTGAGGACCTGTGGAGAAATGGGGAAAACTTAAAGGGAGGGGGAGTGAAGAAATCCCTACCACAGAAAAGGTCAGAAGCAGAGTGCTTCCATATGGGTGAAGAAACAGTCTGAAATGCAGAGATTTATTTTTGGGGATTGAGGGTGTAGAGAGTCTGAGAGGGGAAAAAAACAGTGAGGTTCAATAATCCTCAAATGCCTCAAATCTGGTTTTGACATCTTAAATGACAGGGGAGAGAATTATGCCCATGCAAACCCTCCCAAATCACATCACCTATTTTAGGCAGCAAATGTATAAAGGTAATCTAGTTTCAAACTCCTGATATGTCAAACTGCTTGGAATAGTCAAAGGATTAATACCTATACCTATATTTATTGTTATACAGAGACACATAATGGAGAGAGAGAGATATAATAAACAATTTGACTAAAGGAGTGGTGTAAAGCGGAAGGTTTTGTTTATGTTAGTCATGATATTTGCAGCTGGTCTGATGAAAAGCTGTACAAAAGAGATGGTTTGCATTCATCACAGAAAGGGACTGAGTTACTTAGTACAGGTAGTCCCCAAGGTACGAGCCTAATAGAGCCTGCCCATTAGGTTTGTAATTGTCAAATGAATCAGACTCAATATTACAACATTTTAAAATCAAATTCATTAATTGAATCAAATGGGTCATTAAATGAATGAAGATTTGACTTATTTCCTCCGATGGCTGCCAGAACTGAGAGACTTTTCTCGCTGTTGCTGCAGGCTGTTTCCAGCTGCCAATCAGCTGTTTCAGGTTTCAGGAACTACAGTACTGTAAATTCCCTCCCAAGCAGGCAGCAGGCTTTTTTTAAAAAAAACCCTGTAATGTATTGGCCACAACTGTTTTAAATCACTTGCTTAATGTCTGACCTACATTGCTGTATTGTTTAACAGTTGCTGTTACTGAAAGCCAGACTGGCTTTCTCCAAGCTGATAATGAGGTTTGGGGCGGGAAACTGTGACTTTAAACCTATTGGTTGCCACCTAGAGGCTAACTGTATAAATAGCTGTGCAGCAGCCTTTAGGGCTGCTTCTGTTCTGAGTTAATAAACTTGTTGCTGTTTCAACACTCTGCCTCATTCAATGCCTAAAGAACCGAAGATATAACAGTGGCGACGAAGGTGGGATGTGCTGCTTCATTGAGAGAGCTTGAAGTCACTAGGGGGTGAGGTCAGCACAGAGCCTGACAGGAACTACGTTCCCCCCTCGGTCTGCCAGCAAGCCATGCTGGAGACCACCACGCCCTAAGGATCTGTCCTAGGGCCTACACAGAAGCCAGCAGCGCAAGGCATTGAATGAAGAAACAAACCACCATGGCGAAGGTCGGGAAGCTCGAAGAGTTCGATGTAACTCACCTGGAGAGATGGGCGTCCTAAATCTCCCACATCGAAAATTACCTCTGCGCCAACCAGGTCTCCAAAGATAGATTGAAGGCCGCGACACTCCTCTGCGTGTGCGGCCCCGACACCTTCGACATTGCAGAGAACCTGGTCACCCCAGCGCCGCTCAAGTCGGTCACCTATGCAGACTTGAAAAAAAAGCTCCGAGACCACATCGAGCCCAAGTTATCCGTTATAGTGTGGAGGCATGCTTTTGAGCAGCAGGAGCAACAACCTGGTGAGTCTGCAACAGAATTCATTGCCGCTCTTCGTCAAGCGTCCTGACTCTGCAATTTCACGGATTTGGAGGAGAGACTACGACACCGCTTAGTCTGCGGACTCTGGAATCAAAAGCTCCAACATGCGGCTGCGCGGGGGATTTTGGGGGCCTCTAGATGCTCCCATGTAACACCTCTCCTGCGCGAGCTGCACTGGCTGCCGGTGGCCTTCCGGGTGCACTTCAAGGTGTTAGTAACAACTTTTAAAGCGCTCCATGGCAATGGACCTAGGTATTTGCAAGACCGCCTCCTACCAAACACCTCCCTTCGACCAGTCCGCTCNGTATGGGGTGTTTTTAGAACAGGCCTGTTATTTAATTTGATTTTAGCACAGAAACTATTTATTTATTATTGTGGTTTTTAGTATCGCCTGTTCACCGCCCTGAGTCCCGTAAGGGAGATAGGGCGGTATATAAATTTAATAAATAAATAAATAAATAAATAAATAAATAAATAAATAAATAAATAAATAAATAAATAAACAAAAACTGTTCACTAAGGAGACTCTCTCGCTACAGGACGCCTTGAAGGAGGTCATGGCAGACGAAGCCGCCGGAGGGGCCGTTAAAGCACTGCGGCCCTCCAAAAGCGCACCAAGCACCGAAGCCGTCCACCACGAGGACGCCAAGCAGATGGAAGACACCGACTCAGACTACGAAGTCGACCAGCTACGAAAGCACCCGGAGAAGGGACCGCAGCCAGCTGGGAAGGCAGTTCCATTCCTTAGATGCATGGGCTGCGGAGGCCGCCATCAACGTGCAGATTGCCAATTCCGAACTGCAACGTGCCGGGCCTGTGGCAAACCAGGCCACATTGCCGCCATGTGCCGAGGTCATCAGAGGGATCGCCCAAAAGAAGACGCATTCAGGAGAGGTACCGGGGCCCCAGGTCAACACCGAGTAGGGTTCTGCTCCAGCCGAAGGAGCGTATTCTGCACTGGTGCCCATCGCCCCCTAAAGCAGAAGCTTAGACTACAGGTCAAGCTTCAGGGAGTTCCATGCAGGATGGAACTGGACACGGGCTCAGCCATGTCCATCATTTCACAAGGAACATTCAGGCACCTATGCCATCGGAGCAACAGATGGGCCAAGCTCCAGCTGTCTAATCTACTACTCACAGACTTCCAAAACTCCAGAGTGGCGGTCAAAGGCGAAGCCACACTTCTGGTGGAATTCAAGGGGTTCAAGGGGCCACTAGATGTCATAGTGGTGGAAGGCCAATGCACGAGCCTCATAGGGCTCAATTGGTTTGATGCATTGGGCATTCAAGTAACCGGTATTCACCAAACACAAGCGGTAGATCTGTCTGCAGTCTGCCAAGAGTTCGTGGATGTTTTCAGTTCTAGTCTAGGGGAGTACAAGGGTCCTCCGATTGCCCTCAAGCTTGATCCTATGGTAACTCCAATATGGATCAAGCCTCGTAGAGTGCCTTTCGCGTTAAAACCCAAAATTGATGCAGAGCTGGATAAGCTAGTGGAACAAGGGGTATTGCAGCCCGTAGACAGTGGGGTGTGGGAGACCCCCATAGTAACGCCATTAAAGGCCAACGGGGAAGTGCGAATATGCGCTGACTATAAGTGCACCCTCAACAGGGCACTTCAATAGCACGCGTACCCTGTGCTAGTTGTCAGCCATATTTTGGTGTCATTGCAAGGAGGCCGCGTGTTCGCCAAATTAGATTTGGCACAGGCCTATCAACAACTGCCCGTGGATGAGGCCATGTCAGTAGCCCAGACCATTGTCACCCATAGGGGGGCTTTTAAGGTTAAGCGCCTACAGTTCGGGGTGAGTGTAGCCCCAGGGCTGTTCCAGGGAGTGATGGAGCGCACGCTCAAGGGAATTCCAGGGGTTTGCCCCTACTTTGATGATGTCCTCATTGCTGGGGAATCGGTTGAGATTCTGGCTGAACGGCTTAAGGCTGTCCTTCAGCGGTTCCGCAACACGGGACTTAAACTAAAAAAAGAAAAGTGCAAGATTGAGGTAGAGTCAACCGAGTTCCTTGGTTTCCGCATCGATGCCAAAGGCATTCATCCAGCGGAATCCAAATTAAAAGCAATCCAGCAGGCCCCAAGGCCGAAGTCAAAGGGTTAGCTTCAGGCTTTCCTAGGCCTTTTGAATTTTTACCATGCCTTCCTCCCAAACAAGGCCGCAGTGGCAGAGCCGTTACACCGGCTCTTGGATAGACAAGCTCAGTGGCAGTGGACCAGTGTCCACGAGAGTAGCTTCCAAGCAATCAAATCACTGCTGTCGTCGAACTCAGTTCTCACTCATTTCAATGAGCAGCTGCCTGTCTGCATTGCGTGTGATGCATCCCCGTATGGGGTTGGGGCTGTGTTAAGCCACTTAATGGCTGATGGGAGGCAGAAGCCCATCGCGTATTACTCCAGGACCCTATTGTCCGCAGAGCGCAACTACGCACAAATTGACAAGGAGGCTCTGGCCATTGTGGCCGGAGTTAAAAGGTTCCATGACTACTTGTATGGCCGCCAGTTCACGGTCTTCACGGACCACAAGCCACTCCTAGGGTTGTTCACCACAAACAAACAGACACCTCAGATTCTGTCTCCTCGAATGCTGAGGTGGTCTATCTTCCTGTCAGCCTACAGCTACAGGATGATTTACAAACCAGGCAAGGAAATGGGCCATGCAGACGGCTTGAGCAGGTTGCCCCTGCCACATGTGGAGTCAGATCCAGCTCTGGCTGCATGCATCCTGGCTATCCAGGATTTGCCGGAATCTCCCCTTCACACTGGGGACATAGCTGCTGAGACAGCAGCTGACAAAACGCTGAGTCGTGTGCTAAACTGGGTACACACAGGATGGCTGGACAAATGTCCAGGGCCAGAATTTCAGAGTTTCTTCATGAGAAAAGATGAGCTTTCAGCTCATAAGGGGTGCATCCTTTGGGGAAGTAGGGTCATAGTCCTGAGCTCTTTAAGGCCCAGGGTCCTAGAGTCTCTGCACGAGGATCATCTGGGAATAGTCCGGATGAAGGCACTTGCGAGGAGCTACCTTTGGTGGCCAGGGCTAGATAAAGCCATCAAGGCCCAAGTACATGGTTGCTACACGTGCCAGCAATCCAGACCGGAGATGCCGCAAGCCCCTGTCCACCGATGGGAGGACACACACACACCGTGGTCAAGAATCCACATCGATTTTGCCGGGCCCTTTCAGGGACAGCTGTTTCTAATAGTGGTAAATAGCTATTCTAAATGGTTAGAGGTCGCACCAGTCCCTACTATGACTACTGCCAGGACCATCCAGGAACTGTGCAGAATCTTTGCAACACACGGACTTCCAGACATGTTAGTCTCTGACAATGGGGCTCAGTTTACCGCTTCTGAATTCCAGTCTTTCCTCAGGGCAAATCTAATACGGCACGCCACATCGGCTCCCTTTCACCCGGCCTCGAACGGCCAAGCGGAATGCATGGTCTGCACAACCGAGGAATCACTAAAACGGATTGTCACAGGGGATTGGCACCACAGACTGGCAGATTTTCTACTCTGCCAACGCACAACTCCCTGTACCGCCACGGGCAGAAGCCCTGCCGAACTCAGATGGGGCCGTTTGATCACCAAGCTGGACAGGCTGCACCCCGACCGGGTTGCCTCGGACTCTGCTCAGCCAAAGGCACCTCAGAATGTGCAAGTGGGTGACCGGGTTTGGACCTGGAATTACGGGCAAGGGGCTTTGTGGGTGGCAGCCATGGTTGTTAAGGTGTCGGGACCACTCTCTTATGAGGTGGTCCTGGAAGATGGGCAAGTCATTCGCCGGCACATTGACCAGTTGCGTCGGAGGCTAGCGAACCAGTTGCTGGCTCAGGCCTCTCAAGAGGGCCGCACGCATGGGCCGTGCAACAGCGGCCCAATAGAGGAGCTTGCATGCTCCAACAGAACTCTTACTCAAGGAGACGGGGAAAAGGTCGTAGGAGAGCTTCCCCCAGACAGACAGACATACAGTATCCGCTGAACAGAACTGGCAAACTGTGCTGAGGGACAGCCCTGCAGACTTTGATGCACAATTGGACTTTGGTTTGGGCCGACCGGGACTGGCCAGCCAAAGGGACCCAAGTCAACCTGACTTCACTGGACCTCAGAGTCCTGGTCTACCCAGCCAGACAGGCGAGCGGGTAGACCGGGAGACCCCTGCAACCCCTAGACGTTCAGAACGGTCAAGAAGGCTGCCTAAATATCTGCAGGACTATGTCCAGTAATTGAGAGTTTGAGCCATCTAGGGGGAAGGGGTGTAATGTATTGGCCACAACTGTTTTAAATCACTTGCTTAATGTCTGACCTACATTGCTGTATTGTTTAACAGTTGCTGTTACTGAAAGCCAGACTGGCTGTCTCCAAGCTGATAATGAGGTTTGGGGCGGGAAACTGTTAGTTTAAACCTATTGGTTGCCACCTAGAGGCTAACTGTATAAATAGCTGTGCAGCAGCCTTTAGGGCTGCTTCTGTTCTGAGTTAATAAACTTGTTGCTGTTTCAACACTCTGCCTCATTCAATGCCTAAAGAACCGAAAATATAACAAAACCATTTGTTGCTAAGCAGCTCAAGCCTCTTCAGCAGGGGTGGGGGGGTGGAGAACTCTCCGATTGCAGTTTCCACTAAAGTAAGTAGCTTTAGCTTAAGCGTCTCCAGGCAGGCATGCAAAGAGAGATTTGGGTGGAGTTTACAGAACTGTCGGCTTTCAACAGTAACTGAGATGGAAGGGACCTTGAGGTCATCTAGTCCAGGGCTTTTCAACCAGTGGTACGGGTACCACCTGTGGTACATTGGCACCTGGCAGGTGGTACGTGACCATCCTAGAAAAGTGGTAGCGGGGAAGGGGAATGAGCTGAACCGGTGGCAGCAACGCAGAAGCCTGAGCGAGAGATGGCTGGAGCTGCAGGGCTGTCAGGGCTCAGCGGAAGCGCCAGGATCAGCGCCAGGCTCCAGCTGGAGCTGGGGGCTGATCCTGGCGCTTCTGCTGAGCCCAGAAGAAGCACCAATCAGCTGGAATGTTGCAGCATCTCCAGGGTCTTGTGATTAACATTCAGATACTTGGCAACTGATTCATATTTATGACAGTCACAGTGTCCCAGGGTCATGTGAAGTGACCAAAACCTGCTGCAACCACCCAGCAGATGGGGGGAATAAAAACCAAACACCCCCCCATCCCACCCCCACTGCCAATTCTCAACAGAAATGCTCACAACAATGAAAACCTGGACAGGAGGAAGAGCGCCGCTGGGCGCTGTCTTGCTCGGCTGTGGCTTGGGGGCACTTTTTTCAGTGCCATTGTAACTTTGAACAGTCACTAAGCGAACTGTTGTAAGTCGAGGACTACCTGTACTTTATTACTTTTCTCTCTCTTTTTTGGGGGGGGGCCATTGTTAGGAATAAAATTTTAGAATAAAAAGTAAAGTTAAGTGACACGTACTCTGTAAAATTTCTACACGTAGACTGCAAGATTTCTACACAATTTCTACATGTACACGTACCTTGGAAGAGTTCTGCACGTAGGCTATAGGATTTCCACACTGAGCTATAGGATTTCATGATAAAGTACATATAAGGGAATAGGTGAAGCAAAATAGTAAGGGGCAGGGATAATGTATTTTGTTTACAATCTGATAAGATTGTAACCTCAGAGGAGGGGCCAAGGCGTCGGGATAGAATGTATATAATGTGTGTCTTTGTTGTGACTAGGTGTGGCTCAAATATTTATTTGGAGTCCACCACGTTTTGCAAACCGTTGTATCCAATAAATCTCTGTCTAATTTCAACTTGCTGTTTGGTGTTATTCAGTGGGCTAGAATTTCTACTAACACCATCAAGTTTTTGACATCTTGCTAGGCGACTGGTGGTACTCGGATGTTGCCATATCCTAAAAGTGGTACAATGGGTGAAAAGGTTGAAAAGCCCTGATCTAGTCTACCCCACTGCTCTCACAATAGAGTACAGTACTGTATTGTATTTCTGATAAATGCCTATCCAGTCGCTTCTTAAAAGTCTCTAGTGAAGGAACACCCACAATTTAAATTTAAAACCTTTAAAAAAACAACAACACTGTCCCTGATCAGCACAAGCCTCTCCAGGCAAAATCCAAAATGGGGGGGGGGGGGGTTACCTTCCAGTAAGGGGTCAGCAGAATCTCTGGTGGGTCTGTGCTAGGGAGAGGAGGCAGCAGTAGCCACATGCTATAAGTTTCAGGCAAATGCAAACAAACTTGCAAAGTACTGTATTTACAAACACAATAAAAAGCAGAGCAGTTCCCAAAGTGATTACAAACAATACAGTACAGTACTATAGAGTAACAAAAAAGAATATTTTAAAATACTTACAGAAGTAATTCTAGCTCTCTACAGTAGTCCTCAAGCCCAGCAAGCAGCAGATCTTCCATGCAGCTCCAAGAAAGCAAAAACGAACAGTCGGTGCCGGCTGCAAAAATCACCGGATCTTGTTTGGCCATGTGACCAGGCACAAAAAAACCCAAAAAACCCTTCCGGCCTCTTGTAAGGCCCGAACCGGCCCAGGCAAGTCACAGAGTTAAAATGGCCACCACAGCAGCCAAGACTGAATCCAAGTCACATGGCTACAGAGGCCTGTTTTTGGTCGCAATTTTGAATTTCTAATGTAAGTACCCTTTCTAAATAACCTTGTTTTTGTGAAAACCCGCTAAATAAATGCTCGTATCTGGGGGGTTACCTGTACTAAATACAGGGAGAAACATTTAAACTGAACAATGGGGACAGAGAGTTAATTGATACAGAACATTTCTGTCCCCAGCAATCTAAAACTAACAGGGTTGTCAGTGTTTCTAACAGAGATGTTTGTGTGATTAAGAATATTAAGGCTGTTAAGAAAAATCAATCTTGTGATAGTGTGTGCCATACCATGTGCACTCATCAAACCGGTGGTAAGGAAGAAGGGGAACCCAGACACAAAACAGGTTATGTAGAAAGCAAACACAGGGTCTGTCAGGAAAGACTCAAATGCCTATACACCAATGCACAATGTATGAGCAATAAACAGGGTGAACAAGAAATCCAAGTACATGCGGGCATTACCAAAACTTGGTGGGATGAAACCCATGAATGGAATATACAGCTAGAGGGATTTAAACTGTTTAAAAGAAACAGACCGAATAAAAGAGGAAGTGGAGTTACGCTATATTTAAGAAATAACTACTTATCTACAGAAATAGAGAACAATGATGAAAACTGTCTTGAACGCATTTGGGTCAATATAAAAGGAAAAAAGAATGACATTGCCATAGGTGTATACTACGGGCCAGCCAACCAAACAAAGGAAATAGATGAACTTCTTGCTAATCTGTTAACTAAGGTATGTAGGAAACACACAATAGTAAGGGGGACTTGAACTACCCTGACATCAACTGGGAGACAAACTCTGCACCTAGTGGAAGATCAAACAGATTCCTGACAAACCTAGCAGACAACTTTGTCTCCCAAAAGGTAGAGAAGGGACTAGAGCAGACATGTCAAACTCAAGGCTCGTGGGCCAGATTCAGCCTGCAATGGGTTTAGATCTGGCCCATGGGGCCGCCCTGGAGACGGCGAGGGGCCAGCCCCTGCCGCCTTGGCCCTAGCCCACCCCAGCCCAGCTGGCCTCTCCACCTGGGTGAGCGCACAGGAGGTGGTGAGCACGTGGGGGCTTGCAGTGCCTGGGGCACAGGGCTGACAGAATGCCACAGCAAAAGCAGAAAGGAGGCCGGGTGCGGACCCACCCCAAGGAGGATCTGAGTGCCCTGTTAGTGTTGGCGGTCCCCCAGGCTGCCCAGAGCTCTGGGTAGTGGAGGGCAAGCACACAGCCTGGCCCCCAAGTTCCAAGGGCACTGGGACCCCATGTCAACTCTACAATGAGCATGGCTGCGACCATTTTTTCTTCTCATTCTAGGTTGCCACATAGAATGGAGGGAGGGAGGTTGTCCAGGTGCTTTCTTAGTCAAAATAATCTTTTGTCCCATGGGAACCAAGGTCATCTATTGCTCCCGTGACCAGGGACTGGGCATTACATAAAAAAGCCCACCAAATGAAAATATTGGGGAACGTAGTTGCTAGCATAGATTTGTGGGTGGGACATACTTTGTAATTGGGTAATTGTTACTTGTGTATTCAGACTAGGTTTCACTTTTGACCGTGCCGATACTTTGTAACTAATAAACATGTTCTTTGAGGAATTTTCAAGCCTCGGAGTTCTGCTTTATTCGTCTGTCTGTTGGAACCATGACATTAAACTAAGTCTCATAAAACATTCATTTTGGGGGGCGTTGGGCCCCGACCGCCTACCCATCCTTTGGGAGAGTGGTGAAGACTCGGCAAAGATTTGAAGATGGAGGAAAAGAATGGAGCCATTGCTGGCCGCAATGGAACTCCAGCTGTTGGAGTGCAAGCAGCCGTTCCAGCCACCGAGGAGGCATCACTGGCAGGGGCTTGGCCAAAGTCCAGGTTGATCCAACCTGGGAAGCTGGTACCACAGGGGGGAAGTACAATCCTGGCGGACCTCTATCAAGCCGAGGCTGCCCCTCAGTGCAGGAGCACTCCTGTAGCCACTGAAGAGGAACTCCTGTTGCTGCCGTCCCAGGGGTTTTCGTCTGTGGCATACCAGAAGGGAAAGGGATCGATCAGAGGGGATGACTCCGGAGACTGGAAGTTCCAGTCCGCAGTCCACAGCCCCTCGCTCGAGCAGCTGAAGGAGACATTCGGCAGACTGGAGGTAAAAGAGACGGTTCCCATCACCTAGAATGTGTGCGCCATGGGGGGAAATGCCTAGGGCTACCCATCTCTTCCCTCCCCTCGCCAGAGTCCCAGCCTGATTGCGGGAGCCCGTGCTGCCTCACCTATTCCCCAGCCAGCTGTGATGTTGAGCCCTGTATCCCAGCCAAGCCCACTGCCACGGCCTCAGGCTGCCAGTCCAGGAGCCCGGCCAAGGGAAGTCCGGAGAGTGGTTCAGCCATGTCCC